AGATCTTGGCATGGTCGAAATGGCTCCAAGGGATTCTGATACCACTTGTTATAATCACAATAGGCTCAGATATGCAAAAAATGAGAGATAGAGATTACAGTCGGATTTCCGTCAGACGCCTTCAAATATTGATAACGCTCTGGTCGCTGATTCGAATGGTAATCTATAGCGCATTGCTGTCTCCTATCAGCAGCAAATTGAATTATGAAATTCCAAGAGGATTTGACGACGATGTGGCGGTTTGACTGCCAGGAGGTATAGCAGCCACTTTAGTCTTAGAAGTACAACCTTAGCAAGAAGACTCGAGATTGAGATAGTTCTCTGCCTCTACAAGCCCCAAGACCCGAGGTCCAGGTTGATGGTACACCACCACAGAGTCCCCAACCACGAAGGGACTCGAAACAAACTCAACAAGGGGCTGGACCAAGTGAAATGTAACACTACATGAAGTAGCATTACTATTCTTACTAAGGCTAAAGCAGTAGCCCTGCAAGGACCTGAGGGTCTCAGCGTCGTCTGCCCAAGAAGTATCTGTGTGCCCAGTAAGGACCACTGGCCTGCGTCCTCCTAGCACTAACCCCAAGCCCGAAGTTATTGCTAGATAGCACAAAACCCTCTTAGCGGCCGACCAATGCTGTGGTCGGTGTCTGCTTGTGGCCACAAAGCGAGCCAGGATGCTCAGAGGGTATGCGGAATCTGGACGAGTGCAAGTCATCAGGTACGTGAGGCAACCCACCAGCTCTGCGTCTGGACCACTGGGCTCTACTGACTCCTCAAGAATTGGAGCTGAGAGCCTGTGATCTACGGGCAGAGGTGTGGGCTGTGCGGAGGAGAATTGAAGACTGAACCTCTGAAGGATTTGGTGCACCAAGTGTGACTGGGTGAGAGTGATGGTGCGCGCTGCTCTGTCCCTGGAGTTTTGGAGGCCAAGGTAGTGGCGCAGTTCTCCTAGGTTAGTGCAGATGTGTCTCTTCAGCAGCTCTGCCTTCACGGAGGCCAGTGCGTCCCTGTCTGCAGTGGCAAAGACTAGGTCGTCTATGTAAACAAGGATGTGGAACGGGGTATAGCCAGTACGAACGAAGAGGGAGGGGTCCGCAGAGGACGGAAAGAATTGCAGGTCAGATAGCGTAGCACGCAGCGTGTCCTGCCACTCGTGGGGCGCCTGGCGCAAGCCGTAGACTGGGCGCTGCAGGAGCCACTGAGTCCCAGGAGGGAAGGTACCAGTGAAGCCCTGAGGGCGGCGCAGGTAGACCTGCTCGTGTAGGCTGCCCTGAAGAATCGCAGTGGAGATGTCGAGGGAGTGTAACTTGAGTCACGCTATATTGTTACGTGTAGCAGCACCCAAAGAGTAGTCATCTTCAGGGTCGGGGCGAATGTCTGAAAGAAGTCCACCCCCTCATGCTGACCGAAGCCTCTAGCCATGTAGCACGCCTTGAACACAGGCAGCTCTCCAGGGGGGCGCTTCACCTTGAAGAGCCAACGGCCATCGAGTACGTTCACACCAGGTGGGGGAACTGCATCGACGTAAGTGACGGTGGATCTCCAAGATTCCATCTTCAACTCCATGGCAGCTGTCCACTGAGAGGCCCAGGGTCCCGAGGTGGCCTCAGCGTAGGTGCGAGTGGTCAGGATGTCGAAAGCGTCTGGGTCACCCTCAAGGACTAGCAGCATGGATCAGAGATGTGGAGCAGACTCGGACAGGAAAGCAAGCTCGTACTGCCGGTCCTCCAGGACGTCACTGCCGAGGGCATGAGCACCCCCGACGGACGGAGGACGAGCAGGGTAAGAGGCCAGAGCAGTGACATAGTCAAGGCGGCGGGTAGAGGCGAGGTCAGCGACCGCAGCGACAAGAGCGTCAAGACGCGAAACTGGAAGAGACGGGCCGGTGACGAGAGAGGCAAGGACCCGAGGAACAAAAGGATGAGCTGCACGAAGGTATTCAGACAGAGGGGGGGGGGCGACAACAAGGGAAGACAGAGGAGGCGACAGCAATTTGGGAGGATGAGACGCGTGGGAACGGAGCAACATAGGGTAAGAGCGTGGAACAGGAGAGACAGGACGAGCACAAGAGGGATGGCGGGACCAAACGTGAGACGGAGGTGTCGGGTCAGGAGACAGAGGGGTAGACAGAGGAGGAGAACGCATGCTGCAGCGAGGAGTCCGGCAGGGTGACCGTCTGGGTGATGCCCTCCGCACGAGAGAAACGCCCAAGGACGCCGGAGGCAAACTCGCCACCACAGTCGGAGTGAAGACGCAAGACAGGGAGACCGCGGTGCACACGCGCAGAGACCAGCCACAGGATAAGAGCGGCATGCACCTCGGCCTTCCGCTCCAGGGGAAAAACCGTGGTGTAGCGCGTGTAGTCGTCGACAAGCACGAGGAAGTAGCGCTCTCGACGTGGCCCATGGAGGGAGGCAGGGCCCGAGACGTCCATGTGCAGGGTTTGTAGCGATGCAGCGGTGGTGGGGAACGAGGAGTGAGGGGCACGGCGGAGCCGGCCCTCGACGCAGGGCATGCACGGCGGCGCTGGGGAGGAGGGCAGCTCAGTAAACGACTCTGGGAGACCTAGGACAAGACCGTGCTGAGACATGTGACGCAGACGCGGGAGCGCAGGGTGACCTAGACAGTGGTGCCATAGAAGTGTCGGGTGAGTAAGCGACCGACACGAGCAGGCCGCAGCAACCTGGATAGACGCAGCCACCTTGGGAGACATCCCAACCGAGGGGGGGCGCGGTGTCCAGTGTGAACAGGCCAGACACCGGGTCCAAGGGGAATGTGGTGAGGGGAGCACTAGTGGCGGCCTCGGTACAGACAGCGTACCGCTCGTGACCAGGAAACGTAATGGTGGCGCCAAGGTCCTGGAGGTAGCCGACACCAACTAGGTTCCTAGAGAAGAAGGGGATGTGCAGGCCTGTAAGAGAGCCCGAAGGAACCACCAGACAGGGAAGGGTGGTGGAGCTACGGGCGACTACCGGACCCTAGGAGGGGTCGGCAAGGGAAACTGCGGCGGGAGCGGCAAGCGGCGTCAGCGTAGTGGAGTCGCGAAAGAAGCACCGGGAAGCGCCAGAGTCCAGGGTAAAGGAGAGCACAGCAGTGGCGGCCAAGGTTGGAGTGGCGAGGGAGGAGCCAAGACTAAACAAGGCAGGGGATCCTACGCCTGACACAGCAGGGGAGGCCGGACTAGGCACACCTACACTAGGCAACAAGGGGTAGTAGGAACCAGTCACACTAGAGTCATCGACATACAGCACATACAAAGCAGAGCTATTCTCATCCATGTCCATATCAAAGTTCTGAACACTACGGCAAAGCAAGCTATGCCAGTCGGGGAGGTCGGGCGACGGGCCGAAGCGAAGACGAAACAGGTCATCCAGGCAACGAAAACAGTGGGTGGGGGTGTGACCAATCTTACCTCTCACGGAGCCGCGGCGAGGACCGGTCTGGAGCTGGTACGGACAGCGCCCGTCACCCGAACTACCACCGGACGGCACACTGCACGCATGACCAGCACGTCCACTGCCACCACTAGTGCCCGGCCACCCAGGCGGGAGACCACCAGCCCGCCGCTGCTGCGGCTGCTGCTTCGGCGCCTGCTGCTGCTGCTGATCCTGCTGCTCGGAGGCACCAGCCCCAGTCCCCTCGTCTGTACTACCAGCGGGTGGCCTGGCTCCACCACCTCCTCCACCCCCTCCTCTACTACCGCCGCCGCGCCGACCCTTGTGGCGGTGACCCTTCCCCGGACGGAACTGCGCTGCGGCGGCTATCGCCACAGCAGGCGCCGTCTCAGCGATAGCAGCAGCACCGTCAGAGAAAGTACACTGAGCCGGGGCACAACCCCGAAAGATAGTGACCGGCATAGTACCGCTAGACTGGGCGATAGAGCACTGGGGGGTCTCTATGGCAGACAGGGTGTCGACAAAGTCAGTGAGGGTGAGGTCAGCGGGGTGGAGGCTTAGGAAGTGATCGCGGGCGGTAGCAAGGCGGTGAGGAAGGCGGGTGGCAAGCAGGTAGAGGGTAGAGCAGATGGGTGGCTGAAAGACACAAAGCTGGGACTCAGTGCAGGCAGCGCGCCAAGTCTCGTCTAGCGTGCGCAGGTGGGCGGCCGGGTCAGCGACTGTGGGGAAAGATGCGAGATCGGGAAAGAGCATGGGCAGGATCAGACGATCGACTGAGGCCGTGGGTGGGGTGGAGTAGCGCGCGACACCAGCCTTGTCACAAGATCAAATGTGTCGAGGAAAGGTTTGCTCAATGTTGCACTATCAATCAGTACAAGGTGCTTTTATACTTCCAAGGTACATCAAGTAACCACGTTTATCCTATCCAAAGGGAATAGACCCTTCTAGAAATAGAATCACCGTGTGTATTGCCACGCGGGGCTATTGGCTTTAAGGGATTACGGCAGGATTACGCTAGATATAGCACGCCAGTACATCCGGAGCCTGGTCGGTGATATCATCAGATAGGATAAACCAAAGGATAATGGAAAAGCAGGAATAGGAAACCAAATGAGATGAGATAAAGACCAAATGAATCAGGATCAAAAGAGGAATGAAATAGAAAGGAAATATGGAAAGGGGAAATTGGTGTAACGGGGTCGTACTCTCACACTTCCCCCACTCAAAGCTGGGTGGTAGAAGTAACACCCTGCTTGACAAGGGAGTCGCGAAGAGGACGACGGGCGTTACCCATGTCGAATTCAGAGACACAGCCTTAGAAGTATCAGAACCCTTCCAGCAAAGAAGAAGCTCCAGAGTGCCATTCTGACGATGACAGTGTCCGAGCACATAGTTGTCCCATGGCGTAGACGAGCACGGGCGGCGACGGTGGTTGGCATTCGGTGTAGAGCGTGTTTGGTCTTCATAGGGTTTAAGAAGCTGGTATGGAAGGCGTTATGGATCTTCCAAGTGGCTGGTAGGCGGAAGCGGAAGGTAACAGGAGTGACCTGTGCTTCAACAAGGAAAAGCCCGCAGAAGTGAGGTTGACGCTTGGATGGAAGATGGCTGATGTCAAGAGTGCGTGTGTCAACTAGTACGCGATCTCCCACGGTGATGGTGTGGTCTGTGCGGTGGCGATCGGCCTAGCGCTTCTGTTGTTGCTGAATGTCGAGAAGGCGCTTGTGGGTCCGATCCCAAAATTTGTGCATGGTCGTGACGAAATCATGAGCGGGTTGGACTGTGGCTGGTATGGTTGGCTGTTGTGGTGTGATCGGGTGGCGTCCGTAACAGAGGAAGTATGGCGTCTGTCCAGTAGCGGCGGGAGTAGCATTCTTGTAGGCAAACTCCAGGATGGGCAGATACAAGTCCCACTTGAAGATTTCGTCCTTGCAGGCTGCATGGAGGAGTTGCTCCACAATTTGGTTAAGACGCTCGGTTTGTCCGTCTGTCTGGGGATGGTATGCGGATGACATGGCGATGAAACCATAAGAAAGTTGGACTGTAGCAAGAACTGTCTGTTGCTACGGAATGAGCGAGCTTCGTCCACAGTAAGGAAGGATGGTGTGTATCGCCGTCAGTGATATATGGGCACGTCCACGTTGCAGTTGGAGATGTGAATGGTTGGAACAGTGTGCTGTAACGTGCAGATGAATGGCTATGTTGTCCAATCTGTGTATGCTGTTACCAGCATCTGGTCCACGTGTGAAGATCACAAAGTGTTGGTGGTATGGCAGTCGTGCCATAGTACTGCTTCTGTCGAATGATGGTCCATGCCATGGTGTTGTCGCGAGTCGTACCCACTCGACATCGTAGTGCTACTCAGCGTATCCCTTGTTTTCAGAACCATGTGAGGGGTTGGTACCATAAACGCGGAGCTGGTAACTTCCAGAATCGGCGCAAAAGTGGTTTCCCTCGGTGGTTGCTCAGGCAAGGAATCTCAGTTGCGTAGCTATCCCACGGTGATGGGTTAGGACATTTGGGAATGTTGGGGCTATTCCCAAATAATCCTCTCCCATTTCCAAATGAGCATTGCTGACAGCCAATCCAGTATGACCTTATGCACATCCAGTTTAGCACGGAGGCCATCGGTAGGCATCGGTGTCTCGGCGCACATATTGGGATAGGACTTCTAATGTCATCATGTCTTGTCTCATTCTGTCACTATCCTTGAAGTAGCGTTGATGTCGAAGACGTCTCAGCTACTCAGCATCAATGTTGAAGTCTGCTCCATTTCGACCAATAGGGGTGTTGTTGGAGATACGCGGAGTCCACTATCCGGAGTGGCGTCGGCGCTCCATTTTACGCCTATCTGCTTCCGTAGAGTTGGTGCTTCTGATGGATTGGTTGTGACGCAGGTTTTATGACTTTAAGGAAAGCCATAGGCCATGAGGACTTGTATACCGGTAGAGTACCGTTGTCCTCCCATCCTCATAAGAGCAAATATCTTCCGCTTTTGAGGGTATATGGCATTGCCATGATGTTCCCTTGCATAGTGGTATCTCCTTCCCACTAGCCGGAAATCAATGTTGTGTCTGACCAGGACTTGACGATCCACTGGAATATAATCCAGCATTATCTCCATTGAGCGGAGGATTATCCATCAGGGTTTGGATATGATTGTTGTGTCGAGTCTTCTGCTGCGGCGGCGGCGACGGTTTCGACGATGGCGACGGCGGCAGCTGCTGCAGAGAATTCTCTCAACTCGTAATGGTTGTGGGAGACTCCATCAACTCCCTCTTCCCAGTAGAGTGTTTCTGATGGGTGTAACAGGCGTAACTACCAGGAACACGTGCACATTAGTACACATGTGTTGCTCCATTGCTGCCGGTGATTGTTTTATTTGAGGGTGTGAAGAGAAATTTGCTTCTCCCCTCAATGTATCCACGGGTAGCAATTCCTGGTATGCTCATCCGTGCCTCCGATGTACGGTCGGTAGAGCGCCTGATCGTGTTGTAATAGCCCGCATCTCCCTCATTTGTTGACACCTCGTGTTGCTTGGCGTTCTCCTGCATCGTCAAAGTTACGCTGGTGCTTGTAACGCTTCGGCTTCTGGTAGAATCGCCTCCAATGCATGTGACGTAGGGTCCCTAGTGAACGAGTACTTGCCGGATTTGAGGTTAATTACTCCTCAATCTGTCAAGCATCGTGACATGCATGGGAAAAATTCCACGCAGGTCATTAACACATGGAATCGCGACGCATGATTGGTGTGTCGCCTCATGAGGTCGATGTTGAGTCTGCTCCAATCAATCACTTCGGATGGCTGAGATTCTTGATGAAGATAAATCGGTCAGCTCTTGTTACGAAGTAGTGTCTCGCTGGCCTTGACGAGACGGGTTCACTGCGTCGTCGTTGCGTGCGAAATCTGCTCCTTCGCAGCAACTTGAACTTGGGAACATTGCAAGAGAAAACGGCTACTTCTCTGCAATCCCATAGGTTGTCGATCAAATTTATGAGATGAAGTGTCTCATTGATGGAGAACATGTCTTCACACAGCTCCATTGCTTTTCCTAGGTGAAGATCCGCTGTGTTGATGTTGATCCATTTTTAACGAAGATGACTTCGTCAAAATAACTCCATCGTTATCGACACCAGTTAGAAGATGCGTCCATGGTGCAGTCGCTGGTCACGAATATTGTCTCCGTGATGATGCTTTTCCGTAGTGTAGTCTCTGCTGCATTCGTGCCGTTGATTCCGCACCGATCCGACGATCCACGTTCTCCTGTCAATTTTCTGCTTGCAGCTATTACCAAGTAGGTAATTCTGTGGCAGATTTTGACTTTGCAGATGATTTGCGCGCCAAATTCGTCACCAAATGAAGGAATTCGAATTTGGTCGTCCAGATGATGTTAACGATGTCGAAGGCGACTGATTTCTGGTTCTGCGCGTCATTCTCCCTTTCTGCAGAAGTCGTGCTCCATCTCGTCCGTTGAAGTAGAAGTCGATCCGATGGTCCAAACTCCAAGCGATCTGAGGATACTCCTGAGTCGCGTTCATCAGCTTTCCGTGCTCGGGTAATCTCGTTTCATGCAGCAATTTTTGGTCGTCGATGTCGGCTGTCGAACGATCGGACGCTCCGAAGAATTTCGCGGCTTGCGAGGTCCTGTTCCCGTTCGCGCTGAAACTCGAACTCGCTCAGCAGGATTTCGTTTTCGCCTCGGTCGATCTGAAGCGTCGAATCCCCATGGGACGGATGTCGTCGGTCGCAGCTCCGCACATTTCCGCGCAACTCCAAGTGACGTCGCGAACTGCGAACTCCTCGGAATGTCGCAGGGAGTGTTCCGCCAGAAGTGACGCGTTCGCGGGGTCGAGGCCGTTTGCCCCCGCGAAAAAATCGGCTCCGTCGATGCAATCCATGGAACGGTCGGCGAGGCATCTCGCCTTCGAAGGGGACCCCAGGTGCCACTGCGCGAGGTGAGTCGAAACTTAAATGAAAGTGCATTGTACTTACAGGAAAAGAAGTTTCTACTCCATCCTCCGGGGGCCCAGCGGTTCAGCGTTGAGCTGAAACCTTGGCTCTGATTACCAAGTGTCACAGGATCGAATGTGTCGAGGAAAGGTTTGCTCAATGTTGCACTATCAATCAGAACAAGGTGTCTTTATACTTCCAGGGTACATCAGGTAACCACGTTTATCCTATCCAAAGGGAATAGAATGTACCCTTCTAGAAATAGGATAACCATGCGTATAGCCGTCACACTGAAAGAATGACTAGAATGTGAGAGTACAAGGCATTATAACCTAGGGGGCTGTACTCTCTAAGGCACAACCCTATATGGTCTACAACATCATACACAAATGTGTTTGACAGAAGGGTCAAGTGCCCTCACACAAACCCCCAGCACACATCGAGCAGGGGAAACTTTCGGATATTATGGTAGGGCCCAGAATCACGCTGCTATAGGATTCAGGGGTAGCTGCCCATTAGGCAAAGGCTACAGGGCCTACTACAATTGCAACGCTGTACAAACATAGTTTACTTATAAAGAAAAACCCAGAAATTTCAGGGTTGTGTCTCAAACAAATCCTAGCACATCAGGGTCGGTAGAAAAAAAACATCTGAAAAAACCCTGAATCTGGGAAATTTGCCTGGTATCTGAGGCCCTGCTCTCGGCCTCACCCACGTGTCGAGAAGATAGCCTAGGTAGGAAAAGGTGAAGCCATGAATATGGCGTGAGATCTAGATCTAGGAGGTAGGCGTGAAGTTTGACGAGAGAAAAGAGAACTAGGAAAGAAGAGAGAGGGATACAAGGAGGGGTGTTGTACCCTCTACAGTTATGTTCAGTAACATCTACCAAGCCTACACTTATATAATAATTTATATCATTTAACACACCCCCTAGGCTTGGTAGTAGAAGGACCCACACACCCCCACACCCCCTAACCTAGCACCCCCATTCCCATCAGCCACGACGATTCCAACAGGGCCAACCCCAAGGCCTTGGAGATGGCGACGGCGGCAGTCCCGGCAGCGGCGACAACGACGGCGACGACGGGCGTGCGGCAGCAACAGGCCTGCGGCGACAACAGCGGCGACGGCGATGGCTTCGGCTTACGACGACGGTGACGGCAGGGGCCCCCGCCCTTCCCGCGGCGTGTCCAAACTCCGCACCAGGAGAACGACCGGTGAGAGCCTGACGGCGGCTGTGGCGAAGAGGAGGGGACAGAGGAAAGGCGAAAGGGGCGGGGCTTCGGATCTTCAGCGCGGCGCCATTGCTGGCGCGGCGCTTACTGGCGAGCGGGCGGGCTGCATTTCCAGCAGCAACGCAGGTCGTGCGCGCGGCAACAGGCCGACGTCGCAGCCACGGCACCACGACGGCGCCACCACAGCGTGGCGTCGTCGCCGCAGCTGCTCGTCGACGCTGGGCCGACAGCACGCAGGGGCCGCCGCGGCATCTTGGAAACGGTGCCACGGCGGCAGGCAGTAGGAAGGCCGCGACGGCGGCAAACGGACAGAAGGCCGCGACGGCGGCACGGTAAGGACGAGTACGCGGCAGAAGCATGGAGAGCAGGCCCGGGAAGGGTGTCCTGCTCTGAAACCATGTCGAGAAGATAGGCTAGGTAGGAATAGGTGAAGCCATGAATATGGCGTGTGAGATCTAGATCTAGGAGGTAGGCGTGAAGTTTGACGAGAGAAAAGAGAACTAGGAAAGAAGAGAGAGGGATACAAGGAGGGGTGTTGTACCCTCTACACTAATGTTCAGTAACATCTACAAGGCCTACACTTATATAATAACTTATATAATTTAACACCACGTTCTTCATTTCTAGTTCAACTCATTTGAGTTTCCCCACCCAACCACCCTAGCTATGTGTTCAGTAGTTTATAGGACGAGAACCAATGTATGTTACCCATGTGAAATGAAGCTTACTGCCCCCATATGAAATGAAGCATGCTGCCTTTCAAGAGGACCTAAGCAAGCTTTCACAATTCAGATTTGTTGGGCTGAGAAATGCCCTTAGGATCTTTCCAGAGACTAAGTCCCAGTTGTAAAAGGAGACTTTGAGTAG